TTCAGCATCCACATGAAAATGGAGCTGTAAGCATTCGATAGTCTTTTCAGATGGAGTTATTTATGTTCAGGTGTGCACACACGGATTTCAGGACACAGACAGGCAGACAAGAGAATGTAAGCCAATCTTCAGTTTCATATGAATATTTAAAGAATTTAAAGAATATTTAAGAATCACCTGTCAATTTAACACATCTGACCTTGGGCTAAGTATAACAAAGTATTTAAGCATGAATGAAGATTGGTATTTGAGGATTTTTAATTGGGAAAAAGGTTGGATTCATTGTCCTCTGTGCTATTCAGGACATAATTTCCTAACCAAAAAAAAAAAAAAAATAGCCCCACCAAAAATCCTCAGTTATTTAACACCAAACAAGCTTTCCTCCCCTCTCCCCCAATAACCCAAACCACTTCCTATTCAAGAGAGAGCAAATATAAAAATAATTATGGGTTCTTAAAGCTATTTCAGTAAGGCAATGTTTTCCTCAATATTGGTGCCTATCACTCTGCTAGCTAAAATAGCCCAAAGCACTTCCAGAGTTATTAACTTGCAAACTAATTACTGAATATCAGAAATGATCAATTTTTCAGGAATCTTGCTTAAAATGCCAGACTAGTCTCCTAAGATGTTAAAACTCACCTATTAGTTTTAATATTGGACAAAAAGGCTACCCACATGCAGACATTGATTTCATGTTCAATATCAACCGCAAGAAAACGTGAAATAAGCAAGATTAAGCCTTACTAACCAGAAAATAATTAATTGCTCACCCAGCAAACCACGTCACTGACAGGTTAAGGTCTCAAACAGTTGTATTTATATTCTACTTGTTTACAACAGTAAGAACATTCCATTGCAGTTCTCAAGATACAAACAGGTCTCCATGATCTTCTTGGTGCTGGGGGATCTCAAGACAATTGCAGCAGCTGCACACTAGTTAACACGGAACAAAGCCTTCCCTGACATGTAAATCCTGCCTTCCTGATATGGGCTTCTCTTGTTATGAAGAGTATTTTTGCAGAAGTTATCTTAACTACAAAACATTCACTGAACATAGTATTGGTCTATGAAGATTGTTATTAGTATACAGTATTTTGAAAACGCACAGTGCAAACTCGAAGATTTCAGAGCACTTACAGTATATTCATGTATATCATGATGTTTACACATGTAAGCAGTTCCATGACACTAATACTCGCCATTCCTACATGAGATTGTAGTTTGGCAAGCAAGTAATCTTTTCCAATTGGCAGCCACTGACAGTTAGGGGAAAGGCCAACTTTCACGCTGTTGGGAAACAGGCATGTTATTGCCATCATGGGTTCATCTGCCCTTTACCATGTGCCAGTTTTTTAGCTTTTTGAGGGGAGGGAGATATACTTTACACATCTGATCACCAAAATGAAGTTATGGATCTTTGCACTGACTTTTTTTCTTCATATCCTCCTACCTGCCCATCACAGACTAAATCACTTCTGTATTTCAGCATATTTTAGCAGCTCTCCGTTAGCAACAATAACTTGTTTGGCTTTAACTTCATAAGTTCTAGGGCCAAGACCTGTATCAACCCTTGTCTGTACCTGACTTATTGCATCAGCATTCTGTTTCTGCCATAGCTGCAAATCAAACACAGTCTGTACTGATTCCATCAGTATTGCTGGTAGCTAAAGCAAAACTCATGTTTGTACACAATTTTTTGCATCTCTCAAGAACAAACTACCCTTTTGACCTTTCTGTAGGTAAGAGGCTGCAGTGAGAATGGAAGTAGTCTTGCAAATGGGACAGACTTGGGTAAGTCAGAGTCTTCAGACACCAGGAAGCTGCAGTCATCAGAAATAAGGGAACGCTTTAAGGTAGCACAAGAAACACAAGAGGAAGACTGAGTGGTATAAACAAGACCACATCCAACCAGCAGCGGGACTTGCTGCATGCATTAAAAATTGCATTTGTACATCTCAGTATGCAGAAAGGAGAGGGAAAAGAGGTAAGAGAAAAAATTCTCAAGGAAAGAGAGGCAGACAAATAAACACCAAGTTTGAATTTCAAATCTAGACAAATATAATCCAGTGTAATCCACAGGACACATTCATATGGTATTTCTTAGTCAGGAAAAGACAGATTTTGACATATGAGTTGCTACTAAGAAAAGAAATACCATGAGATAAATTATCTCATTTCAGCTGGTCTGACAGAGAAGCATCAGTGAAATTCAGCTTCTCTACAATTTTTTTTTCATTCTTTTCCAAATACATGTACACAAAAATCAAGTAACATATCTATCTGAAACTCTGATTAACCCAATTGTTTAAAAAAAAAAACCAAACAAACAGTATGTGAATGACAGACAAATGACTGTCTGTACATTCCTAGAATTACAACTAGGACAGCACTTGGGCTATATCATGATGTCATGGAAGGAATTTGAAGAGGATGGATATACAGCACCTTTGTCCTCAGAAACACAGAAGCTCTAGCTCAAAGAGCAATACCTTCATTTGCACCTTTGACCATATGCCTTAGGATAAAGGATTATAATCTTGGACTGCATGAGTTCTACTCCCAGCAGTTACTTGTCACTTTTCTGCCCCCAATTTGTTTATTAATGTCTTCAAAAAGTGTTTAATGATCCCATTTCCTAAACTATTGAATTCTCAGAATTACAATTAGAAAAGCGAAATAACTGACTGTGCTCTCAGATAAATCCTGTACAATCCAATTCCTGGGTAGAGAAAAGCCATCTGTAATTGATTGGTTCCTTCCACAGGATGCCATGTGATGCTGCCTATTGGATCAATTTTCACCCACGTGTACTGGAAGTTCTTTGAAACAGCAATGGATTTATCACGGTAGCATCAATCTGCCTGTTAGTCATGCTAATTAACTGTTACATTCGTTAACATCATTCACATCTCCCTCACATCTTGTCCCAAATTTGACAAAAAACAACGGTATGAGAATTTTTCAGATTTGATTTTTTCAAATTTAAATACCAACAGTGCCCTAATTCTTAACAATTATTACCATTTAGTCTTCCATCTCTGCACTCCAAGTGATTTGCATCCAGCTTTATCTGTTTCTGCTGAGCATCTGCTCATGCACTGGTCATGCTGCTTCAAAAGTTTAACTCCTCTTTAGTCCACCTCCTACTCTTTGCTCCTGGAAGACATAATGACCAAATCTCCTCATCTTGGTGCATTTTTGTTTGTTTGTTTTTTAATCACAGCAGTTTCTTTTCTAATCACAGCTAACATTTTCTCTTTCCTTTTAAAAATTTTCGACTGTTCATTCATTATTCTCCCCTGCTGCCAAAGATCAACAACTCTTTAAAGGCCTTTATACCACTCTCCAATTCTGTTCCTTTTCCTCTCAGCTCTCCATCTCAACATTTATACAAACACACTCTACATTTCTACAAAATCTGGAGACTCACTGAAAAAATTAAAGTTAGAAGGAACCTTGCAAGATTAGAGTCCAATATCTCAAAATTCAGTCATGCTCGAAGCACAAAACTTCACATGTACATGAAACTCTCACAGTAAATTATGCACCAAACAAATTAACATCATATGCTTGCAGCTTGATTGCCACAGTGCTGTGAATACCCACCCTGTGACACTTTCATTCAGTCTGTCAATAGACTGCCTTTCTACATAGTGGAATAGTTTGAGTTTCATTCCAAGCATTTTAACAAAAAACAAACAACTTATTTTTGAAAGGAATGTATGTTACCAAACTAGAAAAATGGTGGCAGGTCACAGAAACCTATGCATCAACTATATCACTGTTGTGTCAAATACTACTGGGAAGTAAATCATCCATCTTTATTTTCTATTCAATTGTCTCAGTTATTTTTACAGTAAAGCCTACCTTGAAAACAAAATCCTGAAAATATATAGAATTTGTCAGTTGTGTGCCATCTCACTTCATAAAACAGAAGCATCTAAACATCAGCAGAAGTAATGCATTCATTACTAGATGAACACAAGGTTTCAGCACAGGTTTAAATTCTTTTGGTGGTCAAGCCCTTATTTAGGCTATTAAAATGAATTAACCAGACTAAGTGAATATACTGAACACTCCAATTAAGCTGCACACATGAGCTGAGATCTTGAACATCTAATCAGGACATTTCAGGCTTTAATGGCAATTCATTAATTTCCACACAGGAAAAAGCCCCCAATCCTCCCAAGCACACAAAACGATTTGGATGCAGATGAGTAAGCTGTGTGTTTCCACAAGAGAGAATGAAACAGTGTTGAGATGGCACAGAAATCCACAAGGCTGCTTACAATTAAAAAATGTGGTAGCACTGTACTAATTGCGGTTTCCTCCCAATACACATTTCACTGTGTGAAAAAAGGGCTGCCTTGCAAGAGAATTTCAGCTTCTGTAATACAAACCTCCACCCTCTTGCCAAATTGGCATAATCACTGATAACATTCTGCTAACCTTTAGTTACAGGCAAAAAAAAAAAAAAAAAAAAAAGGAATTTCCTACACTATAGTATCTAATTACTCAAATTTTGTGGAGCAGAGTCCAAGGCAAAGAATCTCTGTTTCTTAGTCCTTCAAAAAAAACAAAAAAACAAAAACCAAAAACAAAAAAAACCCACTTTATAACAGCAGTTCAGAAGCAACTAGCAAAACGCTGTCACTTTCCTTGAAATGGCTTTTGAATCAACATTCAGTATAAATATTGGTGTACAACACAAGTTTGGTGTTAAACTACATTAGCGTTAGAACCAAGTGTGCTTAAACCCACGACACACACATCAATCTTTGACTTCATATTCAATCTCTGTAACCAGTCAAACCAAATGTACTGTTGCAGCAACTGTTCCTAGCATTTTTCCTAAAGCTGCAAAAATATACAGTTCCACCCACCCATGCTCCAGTAGGCTAATACAGAAAAAAACCTTAGTCATAAATAAATGAGCCATCAGTGGACAGATAAAAGAGTATCCAATTAAATGGGAAAAAAAGGAAGCAGGCAACTGCATCATAAAACACACTCAGATCATTTATTTAGATTAATGTAACTGAAACATGATACGACCTTTTATTCACAGAGTTGTAATAAAAATAAAATCTTTGGTGCTGCAACCTGCAGTTGAAATTCCAAATTTATTCTCATTGTGATTTTCTAGCTACTGCTGAGCTGCAGTGGCACATCATTTAACTGCTCTTTCCATATTTAAAAAAAAAAAAACATTTTTTTTTCTTATTCTTTAATAGTAAGCATCATTGGCAGCTGGAGAATAAAGTAATATTCAGATATCATGATTACTTTTCCTCACAACACAACTTTAAAGTCATTTTTCTCACTCAGCTGTCTCATCTAACCAAACCCAACTTCTCTTTCTTTCCCCCACGTTATGTGAAATAAAGCAGGATCTCATTTTGTCATTAGTTGCCATACGCACGTGCAAGAGCATCCAAAATTTCAATTGAAAATTTCCAAAACTCTCTCTCTCAGTTTCAGGTACCCTTATCACACTGTTGTGCCTGCACACATATGAAGTTCCAAGAGTTTACCATTTTTGGCTTACAGAAACAGCTACCAACAGTTAAATCTAACAGTTAAATTGGACATTTTTCATAGCTATACACATAGAACTTTCATTGAAGACTGTAAGTCTGCTTTACATCCTTGACCAAAAGGGTTATAAGGAGGGACCGTGGATCTTTTCTGTTCTTGCGGACTGTTATCTTTCCCCTCAAGGCCTCTCCTGCAAGAATGAAGAAAAAAAAAACACAAAAACCATTAATACGCTTGCATTACTGTATCATGTATGCTAAGAGGACGGATGCATGAAGTATGTTTATATTGTATGAGAAGTTGCTCTCAATTAATTAGGGTCTACAAAGGTTTCCTTTATGTTTTCAAAGCTCTGAGCAACAGTCCTAACCATCTACAGTTAAACTGGTTGAGGTGTTGAGTCACACAGATGCTTTATCACTCAGCTGACCCACCAAGTGCTCAAGCAAGACACTAACTTCGAGGTCTACAAGAATTTACTCAACGGCTTTCATTCAGGTATTCAAAAGCTGATCTGTGCCTCAGACTTATATGCATATTATAAATTCTTGTGAAAGCTTAGGAATGACAAATGCTGTTTCAATAGCATGGCTCAAGGTTTACAACCAACCTGCAAGTTACACTCTTTTTACATTTAGGAAAACTACCGTCAGTCAATATTCTACTAAGTCAATTAAAAAAATCCACAATTACAAATGCTGCTTCATATCCTAAGGAAATAGTACCTATAAGGGATTTTTAGTCACATTTTAAATGAGCTTACCAAGCAGATGTCTCAATTTCACAATGCTTTTGTGAAGATTGCTGCTTCTGGATATTAGTAAAAATTAACCCCCTTTTATTCTCAGTCCTTAACAAGGCTTGTACTTTCAGTTACATTAGCAAGCATGTAGGAAATCCACTCAGACATTTCACACCATAAATTGCAACAGCAATTAAGTTTTCTGCTACTCTTCTTTTAGTCCTTGCTCCATTCACTTCCATGTCTCATGCCCACCATGCTCACTGTTGCTTTCTTAATGTGATTGTAAAAGCTACTGTTCGTGACCTGCTAAGGAGTCGAAAAAAGAATTGCAAAAATGGTTTGATAGTTTACAGAGACAGATTTGCCTGGTAGAAGGATAGGTCAGAGAAAAAAAGGCATTATAGCTTCTCTTCAGTGGGAAAGTTTAACCTAGTTTGAACATAAAAACATTTTCAGAAATGCACTGCAAAATTCACTACTTCGTGTTAATGTTCCCTAATACCAAAGGTTTTTGAAACTGTATAGACTGAAGTAAAGAATCTCCACAAGCAGAATTAAAATTCTATGACTTAAATCAGCCCTCTGGGGGGCTGAAGTCCTGCCACATAAAACATTTTAATACAAAGCAATACAACGAATGAAGCGGAGATCTAAATATAATTTCAAAAAATACAGCTGACTTCACAGAACAGAGCCCTCAGATTATGTTTATATGACAATTTCTGAAACAAAGCATTTTTCTCAGCCATTTTCATGCAGTAACAACATTAGATCTGCCTTCCTAAACAGGCTTTTCTGAGGGCTGAACCAAGCAGCAGCACTGCAAGCAAGTAACAGGAAGGTAGTTCTGAACAATTAATCAATGTCACATAGATATAAGATGACTGATGTTTTTTCACCATTGTCCTCTCCTACAAGCTGCCTGGAGGAAGCTGTCTGCGGGACTCAGCTGCATCACCTTGCTCTTATCACGCTTAGCTGAATGCAAGTAAACTGCACAGTGCCACTGCAGTTTGATTAGGACAAAACTGAATGCATTACCATCCCCTTCCAGCATTTTTATTAGACTTCGCTAAGTCCTGAGCTTTGTCCAGAAAGAAAACAAATGAAGAATTCAGCAGAACTGCTGTAGAAGCTTGCTAGCACAGGAGAAAATAAACAAACAAAAAATCCCTGCTTCTATACTGACCTGCTACCAAGTAACAAAGCTCATTACATGCTCTACAGAACACTCTGTACACACGCTAACCCTTAACACTTGTGATCATTTATTTTGATTCTGACTTTCATCACCACAGAAATCATAAGCAATCATAACTTCTAATTATGTCAGTGCAACAAAATCACCCATACAGCGATTCTGTGAGATAAGACACTTCTCAGTGCAAGAGCCTCTACTACTAAGTTATTTAGGATGAGCAAGCGGTACTTTTCAGTTTATAACTTGATTCATCTGATTTGATTGAACCTGAAGATTTTGTGCAACCTTCTGCATACATATCCATAATACCTATGTAAAGCTTGAAGTGACCCATGGCAATGAGCTCATAATGTGAAGACCCCTCCTGCCTTTTAATACAGCTCAGTATCCTCTCACTTTTTGATTACAAAAAAAATGGAAGGAATAAATGAAGGCAGGCAGCCATCAAGATCTTTCAAAGCTTTTTTCTTTTTGTGGAAGAGTTTGATGAAAGTAATTGTGAGGCAAGTACGAGCATGGTACTTAAAGCATTCTTTATTCTGACCCCCCGTTAAAGCTTGAGATCTTCAACTTCAAAGACCTTAAGATCTGTCAAAGAAAAATCTCACTGAAATTGTTTTAAATAGAGCTCTTACAAGACTGCAGTAGACTTCTGCTAAAGATACCTTAACTACCCAACTGCCAGTGAGAAGTATCTTTAGAAATCCCCACTCTAGGGCTGTGACAATCCCCTACACAGCAATAACCACAGGCTTGTAGGAGGTAGACATTAATGTATTAACAGTGAGATCTGACACCTCTCTTAAAGATAAGTTCTCACACAAGACTGACATTTTAAACAAAATCTTGTTTTCCTCTCTATTTTCAACAAACTGGAGTCACCATCTTAAGCAACACTGAGGTCTAGCAAGTAACTGAAAAAAAGCAAGCATCACTTTGGAAGAGTTGGCTAGAAAGCAGTTTCCATATATCATCCATCTTCTGAAAACAAATAGGAACAATGAAAGGTAGAAATCATTTCTTGCAGAACAGAGAGCATTTCCCTTAAACTCAGTAACTTGTCCTTAGTCTCCCCATTCATCCAGGTAATCCACAGGCACCTACAGCTGTAGGTGAACCATCACCTTCCCACTTGGCCACGTCACTTACACAATCACCAACTCAATCTTCAATAAGCAGTTTCTGAATTGAGCAGAAATCACAGGCTTCCAGTATTATTCATCTCCTCTGTGACAACACTCTCATACAGTCTGTTCAGTTTAAATACTTTCTGTCTCTTCACTGTTCAGCCTGTTGTGAAACTATCTTAAGGCCCTGTGCTTTCCTGTCATACATGAGCCTGTTCTTTGGCATACAAACAACAACCAAATTGTTGTTTCAACACCCCAGGTCAAAACTGAAACAAAAAAAACCCTCTGAAACTAAATCTAAAGAAGTCTACACAGCATGTTAAGTAAGTTAAGACAGCCTAGTATGAGCTGCCTAACATCCACAACCCACACGTGGCAGTGCAAAAATTCCCAATGTAGATCAGGCATCAGAAACACTTGCCGCAGTGAGTGAGTACCATGCATCAAGTGGAGCTGTAGGAGCCAAACTACCTCACCTAGAGCTAGTCTCAAGTCACTACATTTTATAACAGAGATCCATCGTGTGGCCTGTCTCAATCTTTCTCTCAGCAGTTGGAATAAAACTCTGAGAAAACCATACTATTGCTGCCATGTGTAGTGTATCTCCTTGCAATTTCAGACTGTGCAAAAGGAAACAGTGTGGTGCAAGAAATCTGTGCAACCTTTCTTGTACAGACATAGAACTTCTATTACCTTTCAGTGATAAGAGATTCTGCCCGCTCTGTGCCCAAAATACACATTTACAGATTCTTCTGACAAGTCAACAGGATAATTTTAAGCAGCAGACTTCACGAGTTACATCACAAGACATGGAACATCTAGTCTGACCTCAAGATCCAAGTTTTAATAATTACTAGATATCGAATGCAAACCATTTTTGGAGATGCTATTTGTAAGTAAACAAGTGACTGTTCTAAAGACACCACACTGAAACTGTAGACAGGCAAAACAAACAATAAAAAGCCAATTAGGAAACAAACTACCCCACTGGGATACATAATACTGAAGTATTTCAGTATAAGATCTAAACACTCAGACAGACTAACTGCCAGTGTTGTTTTTGTGTTTTGTTTTGGTTTTTAATGTTTTTCAGTTTGTAAATTTACAAACAGCTAACCAATTACAGAGACTGGGGAGCTAACGATAATCATGGATTTTATGGGGGGTTGGTCATGTAAGCCCTTCTATTTTGCTGTGCTGGCCCCTTTTAGCTCCACTGATAAACAAATCAAGGCTTTATTTCCACTGCAAGGCAATACCAAGAACACAAGACGCCGACAATATGCTGTTTTATTGCTAATAGAATCTGCTTGCATATAGATATGGGTTTTAACTTAATGCACTGTTACTGAACAGATTCTGTCACCCCTTTAAATAAAAAGCTTACAAAAATGATTTTATTTAGTAAGTGTTTGGGTCAACCAAATGAAAATGATATGCTGTACGTATTTTTCTGCTTCTGAGATGAAGTAGGAATATCTCAACAAACAATAAAAGGAAAAGATTCACATTTGGAGCGTTTGTAAGAGAATGGCATGGCTCTGGCATCTGAATTTCAATTTTTTAAAACAAAGACCTTTTCAAGCTATTATAAGAGCTGCTGTGAAAAGCCTTGTACTCTGTAGGGAGTCCACAATACAATACTCTTGTTTGAGAAAAAACAGTTTTCTGGCAATAAAGTGTCATGTGGCTTCTTTATTTCTACTGCATGCTAAGCAGTTAAAGTCTATCCAACATGCTGATGCTTTTTTTGGTTTTAGTTCATCACACATCAGCTTCAAGTCTCTCAGGCCAGTCTGGGAGGAGGAAAACCAGTTCTTTGAATACGTGACTAGTAAGAGACTTCCCCCATTTCTAAAATAAATCTAATCAGCAGAAATTATCCACTAAAACTATACACAAAGCACTCTGTCATATTTACTCAAGCCAAAATTCAGTAGCAAAGCACACATAGCAGATGCAATTTTGTCCTTCCAGCCTCCACACCTTTGGATCTAGGTTAAGCCTCTCTTATTTCCTCTCTCAGAGGATATGCAAACACTGCACACCTAGCAAAGGCTGCAGTAGGAATGGCAGAGCAGGGAGAATTAATTACAAGCCCCATCCTTTATCTTGTAATGGCTTGATTCTGTTACCATCAGAATCAAGAACAAAATATTCAATCTTTTTTATGAGTGAGAAAATAGATCTATTTATACAACAAATAACCTGGAGTCAAAGAACTGAAAAAAATTAAGAGGGTTAACATGGCAGAACAAAAGAATTCTGCCATGGAATGAAGCAGCATTTCTCTGATAAATACCCAGCAGGTTCAGATACCTGTAAGCTCAACTGATTTTGCAGAGCAAATCCAAACACAGTTTCACAGTCACTTCAGGCTTATCCCCAAAAGCTGTAAAGCATCTGATAGAACTAAAGTCAATTTTACTATTTTGGTCAGAATAGGAAATCTGAAGGAACCATTTTTCTTTACTGAAAAACAAAACAAAAATCATGATATCCAGAAGACATATTTACTGAACAGGAGAATGTATTGCCTGTATTTTATACCAACAAATCTGTTTCGTGGCTCATCAAAATACTGGAAACAAGTGCCCCCACTGCACCACAATAAATTAGTCAGTATTTAAATCAAACACTTCAGTAAGCAACTCAGTCTTTAAAACAGTTTTAAAAATTGACCAAAATCTGAAATTGGACCACGTGGCCTATGCTGTGTGCTGGTTTACCCCTTTTGCCTTCCTTCATTGAATAAGAACTATACTTGGCTATTTTTTAAGCATGCACTTAAAGTAACACGATTTGGAAAAAAGATTTTTGGAATGCTGAAGGAGAAGACAACAATTATTTAGAAATAAAGCAACACTCTTATGTAAGTCTAAGGGAACACTCTCTGCCCTGATGGACTTCTATCCTCCATGAACAACAAATACCCCACAGAAATTAATAATAGAATTACAAAGGAGAAGGAGATTACGTCCCAGTTTCTCTCAGAACCTTGCAATAAAAATGACAGCTCCGAAAACAAAAATGGTAATTCTAAAGAAGATGTAAAATTAGATGGAATGAATAAAAGGGAAAAGAGGGCTTAATGATAAAGAGAAGGAAGCAAATAGAAAGAAAAGAGAAACATGGCAACAGCAAGATTTGTTACTGTTATAATTTAAAGAAATGTGAGCTAATAAAGAGAAGGGAAGAAATTATGACAAAAGTAATCTTGAAGGTCGACCAGATTGTGCTCACTGCTTCAAAGCACAACATTTCTGCAGTTGTCTTGAGAAAGTCATGGCAAGCAGACAAAAATTCCAGAACCAGACACGCCTCCCAATAATTTCAGAAGTTTTGTAAATGTCAAATGATCTATGTAATATTTAATAATGTGCATATTCCAACAAATGTCACTGCACTTCTAAAAAATTCCCTTCACGCTCTATGACATTGAAACATAATGAACAGCAGCACAAGGAGCTTAGCCAGCCTCATCTAGAAAGAGGCTGAACAGAACAAATCCAAGCACAATTGCACGCAAGTACTTGTGCATCCCAAGTAGCAACAGGATTTAAGAATATGTAAGTATAAGTTATTTGAGAACATAAATTCAAGCATGACAAAAATGATTTGCCATGGAACATAGATCACTGTGCCTTTACGAAAGGAGCACCTGGTAAAAAGCTCTGATGGTAACAAGCTACCTCAGTTCTTCTCCACATCACCACTAAGCCTCTTGACTTCAGCTTATTTTGCAGAATCCACATAAATTTCTGTACACTTCTCTCCCAGTACGCCTGATCTGCTTATAGACTTTTCAGTTTTAGGCCACATATTACCATGAGTTTATTAGCTGACAGAAGAACCAAACCCCACTGCCAGATCCTCTCTGTCCTGATAACCTGTAAAAAAACCATGGCCTTCAATATGAGTAACATTGCTTTGATGCATGTTTCTCTGCTGCACAACTATTCCATGATGGTAATGGACACGTTGCAGCGTTTATAAATCAAAGGATATTTGACTACTTGCATGGAAAGTTACTGTCAAAACTTAATAAATACAGCTAAATAAAACCTAATAAACATCAGTTTAGTCCCCCAAACTGTACTTCAGCAATTCACTGTCTGAACTTTGGGTTATCTCTGATGACAAGAAAAGCTTTTTTACTTTCTTCACATCTGAGCAACAAGGAGCAAATTACGGTACCTATCAAGTTTATTTCAACATTCAGCATATCCAAATGACATCTCCATACTTCAATGGGTCATGCTCTTGGCTGTGAGTTCTCTGAAACCATTTTCTATTACAGAGTAATCCCACAGCTCCAGGTACAAGACTCATCCACGTACTCATGATTCACATTAACAAGTGCAGCAAAGTTTACGAGCGGTACAAGGATCTCCATACAATCACTGATACATAAGAACACAACTAGCATCAAAATTAAGAGAACATTAATAGCAGTACTCTGGTCTTAAGTTTTTCTTGCATCGGAGAAAAATCATTTGAAACACAAGTGAGATTTCTCACTGTACTGCATGGCACTATGTAAGTATTTGATATATGCCCATTTACGTATACATTTGCCATTAAATTTGTAGAATATATAGATATTGCCCACTGCTTTGCTTAAGCAAAAAAAAAAAAAAACAACCCTAAAGAGTAGCTGAAGGACTTTATTACTAATCCTTTTTAATGCTTACATAACTCTTGAAATGTTTTAGATTTAGATTTCATGATAATACCAGTGTAGCACAGCTGTTGCACCAGGACTGAATTTAAATATACCTGCTTCTACAGGAATTGGTTCCTCCAGAAGAAAAACTGTTTGTTTCCAGTGTGTTTTGGTACACAGGGGACTAGTTGAAAACAAGACCTGTTTGAAGAGTTCAAGAGTTTGATTAGAGAACAACAGTTTTAATATCAGACTACATCAATCAATTACTAAACACACATGCATATGAGTGTTGCTACAGCAAAACAGACTTGCTGCCAAACACTTTGACAAAGAAAAAGGGCTCAAGAAGTATTTTCCCTTGAAGTTATTTTTAAAATGCATACCACCACATACCTTGTTGTGACAGTCCTTCTCAAAAAATATATCGAAATAACCTGCAATTGCCTGTAGTAAACAAAATACAAATAAGATGAAGAATGACAGCAAAAAAAACCTATAATAAATATACAAAAAAATATGGATACATAATCTGAATGATAGCTGATTTACTCTTGTATTTTTTTCTTTCTAGTCTAAATCCAGAACAGACAACATGGTGGCAAATATATCTTAAAGCAATAAAACATTATGTTGAATCACCAGCTTTAGATTTTTCAACTAATAGCACTCTAGAGAAGTATGGAAAGCTCAGAAATGAACCAAAGAGACACTATGGGACCTTCATGACAAATGAATACCAGGATATTGGAACTGCCAACTCTTCCACCCCTTAAGCAAAAGGTCCTATCACTCATTCAGTGCCGAGAATCTCATTTTCAGTTGAATTATATCCTTGTCTCTAATATGCCTTTTTCAGTGAAGATTGAGAAGTTTGACACAGTTTTATTGACCCACCGAGACTTCTTTTACTGACACAGAATCTTTTCTGGATACTAATCAGATATCTAAGCCATAAAAATACCTATCAATCATTGCATCAATACTGTTGGTATGCTTGCAAATAAAAGTTAAGATACGATTACTGGATAAGGGAAGATAAAGGTTGAGATAATAAAAATGCATTAAGAATTGAAGGAAAAAAGAATGGCTTCCAGAGAAAATGAGACTACCAAGTTATGTTCTCGAGCAGAAAGCAAAAACAGTGCCCCAAACTCCAAGGAGACATATCACAGCTAGGGGAGCTGCAAACAGCTAGGCACTCGGCAGCAAGAAGTAACATCTGACCCTGAGAAAACATCCCCAGATGAACATTTTTAGGGATTTAGGATGAAAGGAGACTACAGTTACAAGCAAAGAAACCATCCCTCTGCTACCTGCTTGTTTCCTGTGCTCAGGGATAGAGGACTCTGTATGATTCTGTAAAGAATCAGGACAAATAACCATTTAATTCCTTGCATTATTAATGTTCTCCCAAACTAAAAATGCTAAAACACTGCCCTTGACTACCTAAATCAGTGATAATTAGACATCACAAGGTCTACCATATGCAGGGTTCCAGGGATTCTACATTGTTTTCTGCACTGATTCATTAAATTATTTCTTGCAGCATTCTAAAATGGATCCATTCCCCTCAATACTGAAACTGAAATAATTGTTGAGCCAGAAGAAAGACCTAAAAAAGAACACAAGACTTCTGTTGCAACTACAAAGCCACTGATCCAGGAAGCATGTATTTACCACTACAAAACAAGTTTAAGATCAAACTTGCAGAATAATTTAATTTTGGCACTTAACAGAAATCACTTGGTCTCCTACCAAAGACAGAGGGAGTACACAGAGCATTTCCATAAGCAAGTTTGATAAGTAGCAAAATAGAAAATATTCTTTTCTCTAATTCTCCACAGGTTCCCATCTTGAATTTTCCTACAACTACTGAGCCAAAAGCAATGAAACATTTTCTTTCTTATTTTTATTTTCCATAGATGAGAACTTGTATGTATATTACCAAACCAATGTTTGTTATCATAGGAATTAGTTATCATTGGAATTAGTAACTCTATCAAAATCGTCTGGAGGTAAAAAAAAAAAATTGTCACTTCAGAGAACAGGCTGAGAACAAGAAACATTATAGAGAAACATATAGGGAAACATTTCCCTTTATGCATTTTCAAAAATAACTACACTGTATTTAGAATACCACTTGATCTACTTTCTCACAGACTTCCCCCAGAGTTGTTCCTCACAGCAAAGTCAAAGTCCTAGAAATTCACTACTGAATTTATGCTTCTGATAAGAAATCAGGAAGTCAAAATAGCCAATAATGCAAAACTAACTGTGACTTTGATGACAATCTTTTCAGGTTCTAATGTATCTTCTCTTCCATTTTAATTTCTATTATTTGTTAGTAGAGTTTGGTGCTCTGTTACCGAAATGCACAATAAATACACTCTGCATTTAAGCGCATTTTACTGAAATAATTCAAAGTACAAAGTTCAAAGCATTTTCAGGTGATTTCACTTTAAAACATTACCACACACTGCAGAAGCTACAACAGTTAATCACAAACTTCTTTTAAATATGCATTACTACAAAGAAAGCAATTTCCAGTGCTTGCAAACTGAAGGAAAAGTCCTCCCTTTTTGCAGTAAAATTTAAACACAGAGCTAATCAGCAAAAAGGTAAGGAAAAAAAAATCACTGTGCACACATGCAGTAATCTTACGGACAAGGACATTTTAAAATGAAACCAAGGGCTGGCCAGATTTTAATGAAGGATGTAAAAATGTTTTTAAAAATAACTTGAAAAAAGATTTGTAGTCAAACTAAAAGGAACAAGACAATAATGCCACTGTAAATGTCAGGTGACATTCTGTAACTACTGCATTGGTTTCTTTGGTTTTAAGCATAATGATAACAGTTATTTCTTCCATCGCAGTTTTGTTTTTGCTCAACAGATCATTTACAGCTTCACCAGGCATCAACCATTAAGAACTCCTCTGGCAGAAGCTTTCCAGTGCCAGTCTCTTGAATACCATACAACAAAAATGATGGCTTTTAAACTGGTAATAAATAACTAAAACTCTACTTAGACACATGTTCCAGCCTCAAAGGATGCTAAATATAAGAAATGATGCAGAAATATTATTCTTCCTGCTTTCAAGTAAACTGTCAGAAAGAAAGCAGAGCCATGGGGACAAAAAACACAGCCTCAGAATAAACTCCCCACAATTAGCTAGGGACCTAAGAAGGTTAACTACAGAGCTAAAGAAACAATTAGGAACAGATTTGCATTACTGAGATGGCAAAGGCTAGCAAAAGTTTACTCAACAGTTTAAGAAATATATTTTTGAAATTATTATAGTATCCAGTAACCTCTCCTCAGTTTCATCCAACCCAGGCTTTGACAAAGAACTCTCAGAATAGTTTTAAGTCTTCCCCCATCATTGAGGGACACTAAGGTGTTCATGCAAGCATATGATCTGTAAATGAAGCACTTCCTCTCAACGCGACTCATTTCTTCAACATTTTCTCCCCTCACAAGTGATTTATCTGAAACCTATTTTTTCTTTTATTCATATAAGATGTACAAAATATAGTAAGATCATAAAATCCTTAAGAGCTGTAATGGGTGTACGCATTCTTCGCTTTGCAGCCCTTAGCTGAAACGGGAAGAAGAGACCAAATTTTAGTTCAGACATATCTGAACAGTAGGCTTATTCCATAACGACTGTCTGTTTTGTGCAGCTTTTTAACAGGATAAAACAAATGAGATTGCTTGACTCCTTATGGGAACTCAAAGGCAACCTTACCAATTCACTTAGGAACAAGGAAATTAAAAATTATCATCACCGCTATCACCTACAGTGAGTAATTTATCATTCTTGCTCTTCACTAGCATCATGTTCCAACAGTGAGCGGCTACAACAAATACAATTAGACAGCTGGCCACAGAAGTGGGAGATAATGTGCTTTTGATGGAGTTTACCCAAGCATGGAGATGGAATGTTTGTAATCCATGCGGCAGAGTTGCTGCCTTTTTATCACAGTAAAAAAATAAAAAGCACTTGCTGCTAAAAAGAATTTTTTGTTGTTGTTTTAAAAGGAACACAAATCTGGATCTCAGTGAAGACGGGATTACCAATAACTGAACAGATCATAAGGCCACATCCTGCTTTGTACTGGGATATTGTGGTCTTTAAGGCAGCAGACATTCAAGGTGTGTTTTGCAGCAGGACCAAAATCAGACTTCCAACTCACAACTAAAAAATGTATTTCCTCACTTAAGATTTAGATGCTAACGCTCATTTTCGGCTCTCAAGTGCAAGACTGGACATTACGGGACTAAACCGCTTAACAGAGAAGACTTAAAGATACATTTTCCTAACTCAAAACAATTTTCATGGCAACTCAATTTCCTTTTTCTCTTGAAGGTTTTAATACATCAGTCACATCCTGTGGTTCATTATCCTTCTTTCACACCCTTCTTCCCTCCAACTTCTTACACACATCCCCTGCTCTTTGACAACATCTCCTGGGAGCAATGAAGAGATACTGCCATTTTCCTCCCAAGGGATATTGTTATTCAGCTAGGAAAGATCAACAATGATGGGCTCACAGGGGAAACACTCACAAACAAAAGAGGAAGTTTGTCAAATTGATTTCTACACTGAGGGTAATCACCATTATATTTTATCTCAAAAGCACACACAGTGATCAACTCAGAATACAATTAATGCAATACTTTCCCAGCAGCATCTACTAACTGATATTAGCCAGATGTCTCATTAAAATCAGCAGTGACAAACCCTAATTCATTACCACAAAAATACACTTTCAGAGACTAATTAAATTTATTTTTGGCCATTATCTTCGTAAGACCGAAATAAAGCTAACATGCACTTAAAAGTGCTTTGAGTCTATCAAATACAATCATTCCAAACAACTGCTTCACGCTTTTATTATCTTCAGTCTTTGAAATCTTACTACTTCTAGGACACCCCTAGGATACTACTGAGATGTTAAGTGGCAAATCATAGTAGAAAAAAAAAAAAGCAAACATGAATACTTGCTATATTTGCTCTCAGGAAAGCTTAAGACTCCTCCCATGCCAAAATAACTTCTGAAATACTAGGCACCACATACCAAATAATTCAAAAGAACTAAGAATGAATAAACTAAGAAGAGATCAATTTCTCTGCTAAGGCTGAAAGTAAACAATTTCAAATAGTATCTACTAAAGGGGAAAAAAACTGAGAAGAAACTAAGGTCAGAGTTTAGGTATGTTAAACATCTTACCACTGTAATTAGAAGGACTGCCTATACTTGAGGTCCTTAGGGGCTTTCAAGTCATAATGAAAGTAAATGCACTAATTAGTTATCAAAGAGACTGCATTATTAGTTTGATTCCTGTAAATTTTTACTATTTAACATCTGTCACTGCAGAAATGGAAACAGGTTGATGGGAAGGAGCAGCAGACTGCAAGTTAAAAGTTAATTTCTTCAAGG